CAATGTGGTGGGGGAAGGGTCTGGGAGAGATGGGGGGGCCTACAAGCCCAGCGTCCCCCCAATGGATGACGCCAAGACCACCCCCAGCACCACACAGCAAATGATGATCATGATTTTCTTCTGCAGGCAGAAAGGGTGACAGGGAAGAAGGAGGAGAGAGACAGAGAGATAAAGGGAGACAGACAGATGCAGGGAAAGATGGGGAAGCAGGTGTAAGGAAAAAGAGGAGGGGAGAGAAAACAGAAAAAGGAAGAGGTCAGAGCCAGAGATAAGGCCTCCCTTTGGATTTCATCACTCACCTCAGCCCTGGCCTGAGCCCTGCCCCGACCGCTCAGCCCAGCCCACCTGTCCCACAGGTCCACCCACCCCAGCTCACCCTCCGGGCCTTGCTCTGATATTTCACAGCTTTCTTGGTGTCAGACACAGCTCGCTCCACATAGTCCACGGAATGTTCCACGTTGTACTCAATGCGGTCAATCATCTCACCCTGCAGAGGAGATGTGCACAGGACAGGGTAGGGGTTGGGCTAAAGGAAAGAACCCCAGGGACGTAGGGCAGACTCCTAGAATGTGCGGGAAAGGCAGTACCTGGCTTTCCACGAGCATGGCCATGTCCACAAACATGTCATGCAGCTCTCGGATGCTGGTTTCCAGTTTGATGATCTCGTTGTGCCTCGTCTCGATCTCATTCAGTGCCTGCTTTGTCATCTGCGAGTCCATTTTGATCTAGGGCAATGGGGTTGGGGGACGGGGGGGAGGAGCTGCAGACGACCCTTCACTCCCATGAGTTTGGATTCTGCAGCTAGAGCATCTGGGTTCAAATCCAACTGTCATTTACCAGCTCTAACTGTGGGCAAACCGTTTAACCTTTCTAGGCCTCGGTTTCTACACCTAGAAAAGGTGGATAATAGCAGTGCCCACCTCCCACATTTGTTGTGCACATTAAGTGAGTTAATATGTATACGCTGATTACAACAGCCCCTGGCACACAGTAAGGCACTAAAAGAGGCCTGTTAAGATACAAGAAATAAAAACCAACCTGAGCCCACCACCTCACCCAGGGCTTCCTCTAACACACACACACACCTGGAAAGCCCAGGGAGGAGAGAGATAGGGGTGCAGAGCCACCACTAGCATCGGGGGCGCCCGTCTGGTCAAAGGCAGACAGGGTAAAGAAAGAGGACACAACAGAGAAAGCAAGTAGGAGAGGAGGACCAGAGGAGAAGGCAGAGTGCCCATTCTGGAGCCACTGTGACATTAGATGGGGGAGAACTAATAAAGAAATGCACTGGAGCACCTGGGTGGCTCAGTCAGTTGAGCGTCCGACTTTGGCTCAGGTCATGATCTCGTGGTCCATGAGTTCGAGCCCCGCATCAGGCTCTGTGCTGACAGCCCAGGGCCTAGAGCCTGGAGCCTGCTTCGGATTCTGGGTCTCCCTCTCTGTCTGCCCCTCTCCTGCTCATTCTCTCTCTCTCTCTCTCTCTCTCTCTCTCTCTCTCTCTCTCTGTCTCAAGAATAAATAAACATTAAAAAAGAAAAAAAGAAACGCACTGTAGCCCTCAAGAGTCAGGGGGAGAGAGAGATTCCAACCCACAATCAGATACACCTCCTCCCCGCAGACAACCTGGCCTGAGCCAGGCCACTCTCTTCCCAAACTCCTCACTGTTCAGGCTCCATGAGGAGCCACTCCTCTGCTCTAAAACCCTCCAGGGCTCTCCTCTATTCCTCCCCACTCCCCACCACCACAGGTTACACACCTTTACTCTAGCCAGGGTTCAGTCTCCCTTTCTGCCCTCATCTCCTACATATCCTATGAGCCCAAATCATTCAATGGCTGTTTGGCAAGTGGTTCCCTCTCCCTGTCTTTGTTCAATCTGTGCCCTTTGTCTAGTGGGCCCTTTGCCCATCTCACCATGTCCAAATGTTCCTTGTTTCTTAAAGCACAGCTCAATGCTACTCCCCCCAGGAATCTTTCCCTGACTCCAGTAGTTAACCACTACCTTAGGGCCTGTCTGCAGGCAGGGCATCCCTCAGGCAAGATCCCAACCACCCTGCATTGTAATGATGCGTTTCCATTGCAGTGATGGTGGCTTTGCTGGCGGGGATCAGTTCTGTCCTCTTGGAACCCACCAAGCTCCTCTCCGTTCTCAGACAGAGAGACTGGGCAGAGCTGTTTGGGAGGGCTCCAGGTTAACGGGCCCTAATCAATTGCTCAAAGCTAATTTAACAAAGATCAGTTCTCTAAATAACAATTTACTGAAAACTGCTAGATAGTCACTGAACATACTTGAATTCTGGTCTAGAAATCTAAACCAGAGCCATTCTGCCAGCAGAAGCAGGGAGACAGAACTGGGCAGGCCAAGGCAAAATCTACAAAGAGAAAGAACTACAGTGGGGAAGCCCATCCAGTCACACTGAAGATGACAAGGGCAGGGTGCCAAATGTCAGCAAAAGTAAAACTGGTACTTCAAAAAATTTTTTCAACATGTAGGCAAATTAGTCATTTGGTGAAATGACCCGCTTCAGGAGGGAGTAGTGTATCTTAGCACTGAAGAGCCCCAGCCCTGACAGGAGACCGCAGGTCCAGATCCTGGCTCTGGGGCCTTGGACGAGTTATTTAACCCCATCGCTGAAATCTGGCTGCCTCGGAGGGTGGTGGTGAGGGCTGAATTAGGTAGCAGGTAACTGTCAATATGTAAAGGGCTTAGAACATTATCTGGTTACTTAAAAGGTTGGCCTTTTTTATGGGGGTGCCTTCCTGCTCTGCTCCCATGGAATTCCCCGGTTCCAGGTCCTGGCTTCCCACTCTTTGTTATTCCACGGTGGACTTAGGACCTTAGCTCGGCCTCGGCTTGGGGAGGGAAGAGAGTAAATGTTTTCCAAAACCTGACCCACCCCCACCCGGGGCTCACATCATCGGTGAAGATGGCCAACTTCCCGCTCTCCAGCATGTCTTCCAGTTCTTCGTTCGTCGTGGTCCTTCCGGCTGTGGAGAGAAAGCCCTCCCTGCTCAGGGACTGGGCCAGTCTGGGGGCCTGAAGTAGTGGGATGGGGCAGAGGCCCAGGAGCCCACCCTCCCCCCACCTAGCCTTAAGGTCTCCAGGGAGAGGAAGGGCCTGGAAGAGGGCTGGGGCAAGCCTGGGGATTTTGAAAGGGGGTACACGCACTGATCTCCAGCTGCCGCTGGATCCGGTCCTTGCAGCGGTCCCGGTACTTGGACTGGGTCGCATTATATTCGGTCATTACTTCCACGAACTTCCGGGAGAGTGTGGAGTGCTAGGGTAGGGGTACAGACACATCAGGAGAGGTCAAGGAGGCAGTGGAGGGGGGAGGTGCCGAGATGGCCTATGGCCCTTCTTTAACTCGCGCTGCGATCCCAACCCTAGACAATTGCTCAGTCCCTGGACGCCCCCGCGCCAGGTGCCCCATTCAACTCGCTAACCAGCGGGGTCCCAACCAGAGCTGGGAGACAGGGCCCAGCCCCGCCCTCCCGCCATAACCCCGCCCAGGCTCCTCACTGGCCACGCCCAGCGCTTTGCTCGGCTCTGGCCCGCCCACTATCTTTTCGCCTGGCTCCCGCCAGGAGTCCTCCCCCGTCGGATCCGGCTCCCCCCCAACCCCGCCAGGCTGCCACCTCCTACCTGGGTCTTGCGGATGCGCAGGTCCGCGGAGGAACGGTTCAGCCCCTCCTCTTGTTCAATGCTTTGCTCGATCGCTACGGGAGAGAGGGTGCAGTGACCGGCGGGAGACCCGGGGCATGTGGGGCAGGGGTCCGGGACGTAGGAAAGGTCGACACCCCGAGGCAGGCCCCAGGCCTGTGAAGAGATGTCACACCCATGGCGAGGGCAGACAGTAGAGGATCCAAGGGGCAGGGGCAGGAGGCGGGTGAATAGAGGGACAGACGTTTCAGGGCGTCTGGAAGGCAGGTAGGAGGGGAGGTTGAGGGTTCGCGGGTCACCAGACAGAAAGGGGCTACTTGTTCAGGAGGAAGCGTTGGGTCTTGGAAAGTCCCACAGCTGTAACTCGTGCTTAACCCCACTGAGGGGGGTGTGGGCCCAGTCCACTGGAGGGTCTCCAGTATGTGGAGAACTCTCCATTTCCTAAGGCCTCTGGAAAGAGGGCAGGAACCCATCCTGAGGTTTTTCTGGCAGAAGGCAGGCACTTCCAGGTGAGTCAGGTTCTAGTGGCCGCCCTTTTCTTCCAAAATCCTAGGGTGAGGGAGGGATGTTCCAATAGAAAATAGCTCTCCCCCAGCCCTGCAAGGTGACCCCTAATTTGGGAATTCCCACTTCTACAAGATGTTCTGGAAAAGCTGCACAGATGAACTGGGATTCCTGCTTCTGGATCATGCACTCCTAACATCTATCATTCAAATTTTCTAAAAAAGAGCTTGTGTGTGATAAGATCTACAGTGCTCTGAAAATGCAGCAGGGATGAATCAACCAGGCCCTCCAGACCTGGAAGGGCCTCCAGGCCATTCTTGAGAACATCACTTCTCTTCTGCTGGCAGCAGGGGAGATATGGGGCTGAATAGCACCCCCGATGCTCCCCTACCTGCAATGGTGGGCACAGTAACTGAGTGACACCTCTGGCCCACCTGCTGCTGGAAAAGCACAGGAACACACACCCAGGGAAGTCAGAGCCTCCGGCCCATACTGGGACCCTATTGTCAGGCTTGGGACTGGAGCCAAGCCATGGAGTGAGGGGGCCTTTACAGGACCTCACTGACTTCCTACAACAATCCTAGGAATTCAGTCCATGTTTTACACTAGAAGCTGAGGTTCAAATGGGTAAAACAACTGACCCAAGGTCACACACAAAGCCCAAGCTCATGCCACCAAAATAGCTGGAGAAAGATGGAGAAGAAGAAAATTTCCTCTCTTTTTCTGGAGGCCTGGAAGGTCAGCTTCTCTACATCACTCCTACTTTCTCTGGGTTCTTTCTTGGTCTGTTCCTGGACTCATGATCCATGGAGCCACCTCTTGGTCTTATAGAGAGTGTTAAGGTCAGAGCTCAATGGGCCCAAAGAAATCTTTGAGCCCAGGAATTTTTTTTTTTTTATATGAAATTTATTGTCAAATTGGTTTCCTAGCCCAGGAATTTTTAAATGGTGTTCCATGGAACCCTGCTTCTGAGAAAGAACTTCAAGGACTGTTGCCAGGAGTAAAGGGGAGGCGAGGCGGGTAGGGCCCTGGGTCTCCCAACCCCAGTACAGCCAGAATAGCATGACTTTTACGTGTTGTATATACTGGAGTTCTCTGTAAGATTTCATTTAGAGGAAAAAAAAAATTGCTACAAAAAAAACCACACACACAAAACCAAAAACCTGCTTTGAAATTGCTTCTGTTTTTCTTACTGTACCAATGAGAAAGTTGAGGTGAGGAATGTGTTGATGATGGAAGCTGTCCAGAACTCAGTTGATGATGGAAGTTGAACTCCGTCTGTCTGGATTTGTACTTAATGCACTCCCAGTTTGGGCCATTTTCCTTTCCAGCACACAAGTGTAAAGGGCTTATTTTTACAGATCAGCACTGGAGGCTCACACATGACCTCCCACTGACTCGGGGAAGGCATGGAGTCCCTGTTCTCCTCTCTCTGGACAAAGGTTAGTATGCTCAAGGCCAGGCATCTGACATGACACCTCTTCCCCAAAGCCCAGCAATGTGCCTCAGACAAAGTAGGTGCCTGGCAAATGTTTTCTAATACTGAATTACCACCTCACGGTAACACTGCTATTCCCCTGGCACCAGCAGACAAGGAGGTTCCCAACCCACAATGCTTTGAGGGAAGGTGGTTATTACCAGCACCCAAGTCCTTAAATTAGAGCAAATACATAAGCATTTGGCAGGTCCCTCCTGAAAGCTTGCCAGCTCCTGATGTCAGCCACACAGTCCAATCTGTCCTGAGCCGACGATACCAATTCAGAAGCATTTGCTGAGCCCACCTACTGGGTGCTTAGCGCTAGGCCCGGCACCTGTTCTGGAGAAATAAGGATTTAATGAAACTAAAGCCACTTGGTAGACTGTATTTTCTGGTGGACCTTCATGCTGATGGATCCAGCAGAGTGCAGACACAACTTGGACAACCCCCCCCCACACACACACACACTTCCTTCTCGTGTATCTTTCTCCAAAGAATCTGGAGCAAGGAGGGGAATCTGGGGGGTTTGCGCTTTCTCACTGTTTAGGAATCTGGGTCCTGGAAATTTGTAGACGTTCCTTATAGAAAGGCATGTTTGGTCCAACGAGGGCACAGTTGTTTTCCTCCTTAGTCTGGGGATTGCATTCCTCACCTTTCAACTTGGACCGAACCTTGTTGGCAGTCTTCTTGATGTCTGCGGTGAGGTCCTCCAGCTCCTGTTTGGTCTCTGGGGACAGAGCCAGAGAGGATGACACGTATGGACGGGAGCCCAGACCCCCTACACCACTCCCCTACTTGTCTAACCCCATCCCCCTTACAGCCACCCAGAAGCAGCACTCACTCTCATCTGGGTTGGGGGCGGCCAGGATGGCACTGTGCTGTTTTTTCACTTGCTCCACATCCTCTGACAGCTTCTCAATGCAGCCCCGGATCTCTTCCACCTGGAGCAGCAAATCAGCTATACCCAGCCAAGTCGCTGAGCCAGGCAAGGGGCCCCGGGGGCTCAGTCAGGGTTCAGGTAAATGGGCAAGATCTAAGGGCCAAGGGGGTGTAGAAGTGGAGAGCAGGGGCGGGAACAGGGCAAAGGAAGTTGTTGGCCGGGGGCCAGCTTCTGGGTCTGAGAGCATCGGAAGCTCAGTTACCTGTTCAAAGAACTCATCCATGAAGTGGTCCCGATCCACATGGACCACCTCCTCTTCATCATCACTGTCTTTCGCCTGGGAGGCAAGAGAGGCAGAATCCATGAACAGTCCCTACCCCGAGTCTGATGCTCCCAGCTCTAGGCTCAGAGCAGAGGTCTTGGGAGAGGTCATATGCGGGGGGGGGGCAGGTCATATGCAGGTCATACGCAAGGGCACCAAGCAGTCAGAATGAACACTGGCTCTCTTGTGGAACGGGGTCCCGGAAGCCAGGTGGCCAACAGCCCAAAGGACAGGGTGGAGGGAATCAGAAAAAGGCACCCTCTCAAGGGTGGAATTGGCCCAGTCACCCTGGAGGTGGGTGACACTCAGGACAGCTGCTGTGAACCGGTATCATATGAACTGGCTAAACGTCAGCCTTGCAACATCTGGGGTCTGGAATGGAGGCCCAGGATCCTGACCCTGTCCACCATCCCTCCCAGCCGCTCCTGCCCAGGCCTTACTTTGCTCCCCTCCAGCTTCCACCCGGCCAGCCACGTCCCCTGTGCAAGGTCACTTCACTGCCAGCTGCGGGCGCCAAGTTGAGCAAGCAGTCAAGTCCAGGGAGGGCTGGAGGAGAGCCACAGGCAGCACCCCCACCTCCCTGGCTCCCTGCGTCTTCCTCCCGCTGCCTGCGCTCACCCCCTCAGCTGCTCTGCCCCTCGTATTCACTTCTTTCATCCAGCCTCTCCCAACTTCACACCCACCTACTCTCACTTGCTTGGATTTCCCAGTTGCAACCTGCAGCTGCTCAGCCCTCCACCCCCAGGGCTCAGAGACACAAAGGGATTTACCCACCCACACCACCACCACCACCGCCACCGTCAGACAGACCAGTGACACGGACAGAAGGGCTGACACACAAGACACACAGAAATAGGCCCACTGACACCCACACGGAGAGACGCTGGCATGCTGATGTTCACCCACACACGGCAAAGCTGCCCTCTGACACGTGTGGCAACCCCAGGGACATTCGGGAGGGCCCTCTGTGCCTCTCTGACCCTCAGGTCGGCACACTCATTCAGAGCTGGGGAAGAAGAGAGGGGACAGGGTGGGCTCCCCGGTGCTACACACTCTGGGCTTGAGACTCTTCTCTGCTTGGGACAGAAGTCTGAGGACAAAAGCTGAGCCTGTCAAGCTTAATTACATGAGGAGCTCTAATCGGCCCCAGTAGAAATTGAAACAGAGTTCACCCAGACCTCCAGAAAGAACCTAGCCAAAAGAATCTGACTACCAAAGCCTGAATGAAATCAAGACAGGATCCAAAAGTGTCCACTTGGGGTAGAGCCTGTTGGGATCTAAAGACAAGCACTCACACGGAACCTCAACAGGGTCCGAGCAGATCACAGACAGGATCTGACAGAAACCAGACAGGCTTCAACCGAACTAGACTCGGGGCAGACAGATCCCAGACAAGCTCAGATCGAACCTAGACAGAGCCAGATGGGACCTAGATGCAATCTAGGCAGCCAAGTGAACTCGGAATCAGCAGAGCCCCAGCAGCACCGGGAGGAGCCCTCCAGCTGCACACTCTCAATGCCACCCCAGCTTCCTGCCCAAATGGAACTCAAGGGATTCTCCCCACAGACGCTGGGCCCCACCCCATGTCAGAAAATGTGTTCAGCACTTACATTTAATTTCCAGACCATCCCAAACATCCCCTGGGAAAGGGAGGCTCCTCTGTCTGCCCACAGCTGCCCTCAGAAGGAGAGGTAATACCAGGCCGGGCTCGGGGACTCTGATAGGACATCAGGCTTCTCAAGTCTCCACCAGACCAGGGCTATCCCGATAAACTTTGGCCCGGAGGGGCTCTGGGATGCTCATCTCATCTCTGAGGACCCACTGGCTTCCCCTGATACTGTGTCCTCAAGCCAGCTGCCCCACAAGGTCTCCCTCCCCTACAGCCAAAGCCATTCCTCTGCCACTTCTCTGACTTCGGCCCTCTGCCCAGCTGCCCACCGGTCATGAGGCGTGTCTCTGGCTCAGGTGCCTGGGAACTTTCCTGTTCTGTCACTTTCCCACACTGACTTTTGATTTTCTAAAGTCTAATTTCCCTCTCTACTGTTGTTCCCAGAGCCAGTTCCCTTAGGTTTTGCCCTGGGACATCCCTGGCTGCCTGTTTCCTTGTCCTTGAGAGAGGAAGAAAGGTAGAGGCCCGAGAGCTAATAATCCTCTACAGGGTACAAACACTTTTCCATCTATAATCCCTTTTGATCCTCACCACACAGCCCTGAGAGAGAGGCTGAGCAAATATCAGTGTCCCCATTTCACAGATGAGGGAACAGGAGGTCAGAGGTGGAGAAGGGAAGTGACTTGTCCAAGGGCACCTGGGCTGAATGGGCTGGAAATCATAGGCATCTAAGACAGACCTCCCCCACAGCCCCTTCTAAGGCTTGAGACCAGGCCACCTCCTTCCACCAACTCTGCCACCACATGTTTTCTCGCTCAGGTCAGCTCCTGCTAAGGCCCAATCTGGGTGAGGCTCTGTGCCCCGAAATCCTAGGAAAATATTATTTTATAATAACACCTTCCACATAGGTCTTATATTCTTGTTATCTCATTTAATCTTTATGTAAAGTCTATAAAGATCACTGGCTAGCATAATTATAATTATGGCAAACATTTACAAAGCGTGTTAGAACGAGCTGGGCACCATTCTATGCCCTGTGTGTACATTTGTCCCTTTAATTCTCACAATAGCCTCCTGAGGTAGATATTGTTATAGCCCCCTTTTATAGATGGGGAAACTGAGGCACAGAGAGCCTGAAGAACTTGCCCAGGTTAGCAGCTGCAAAGCCACATGATTTCTGCCTTCTGAGCTTCAGCCTCTGTATTCACTGAATGGCGATAACGTCTACTCCAAATGCTGGGCAGGAGGGGGCAATGAAACCAGGCAGGAAAAATGCCTAATGCTGCCAGAGAGAAGCAGTGTTTAGTGAGGGTTGGCTATTACCTGCTGCCCCTCCCATGTTATAGATGAAGAAACAGGCTCAGAGAGGTTGCCTGACCTGCCTAAGGCTTCACAGCAAATAAGGCCAGAGGTGAGACTTGACCTGCCTGGTGCTAATCCCAGGATCTGTCCCCGCAGTCCTGCTCTGCTGTGTCCCCAGTACTGCTGAACTCCTGTGGCCAGGGGAGATAACCAGTAAGGGGCCAGGCTGCAGGAAGAGCCCAGACAGGAAGCCAGGAATTCTACCTTCCCTTGCCCTATTCTGTGATCCTAGGCAAATCTCAGCCCTTCTCTGAGCCCCAGTTCATTTGCAAAAAGGGCAGCCTGGTGCACCAAGGGCCCTCCCTGCTCTGCAGTGTGCATGTTCACTAATGAGCATGGCCTCCATTTCTGGAAGAAGTTGGCCAGCCTAAAAGAATGCAGGCTATGGGCAGATGAGATTACCCAGAAAAAGACGATTGTATGCGCTCGCTCGATCTGCTTTACGGACAACTCAAGCTTCAGTTTCCTCATATGCAAAATGAAGAAGATAAGAAATCTAACACATGTTTACAGATTGCAGTGAGCTGGGCCCTGTCCAAAGTGCCTTGAGTGTCTCTTATAACCACTCCATGAAGTAGATACGATTCTTATACCCATTTGACAGATGAGGAAACTGAGGCACAGAGAGATTAAGTGACTTGCTCAAGATTATCCAGTGGGTGCTGTATGGGGTGCTGACAGGGCGGCACCTGGGTTTAAACTCACAGTCGCTGCTCTTCCTACTCACCAATTCCTCAAGTGCTTGAAAGGATGAAGTGACAGAGTGCAGAGGTCCTGGGCACCTTCTGGAACCGCCTTGGGAATAGGGGGCATCAGATCCAAGTCTCTAGCTTCAGTCTTTCCCCATCAGAGATACAAGGGCCCTCGTGTACGTTGGTGTGGGGAGACCACATAGACAGATGCGTGGATGGAAGGAGGGGGACAGAGTGAGCTAGCAGGTCAGAGATCAGAGATCAGAGACAGATGGTAAGAAGGTGACTAACACAGAGGCAGAAAGAGCCTGGTGTTGGGTGACAGAAAAGTCAGAGTGCGTGTGTGTGTATGTAAACACACGTGTGCCAACACGCACCGCACACACATGCTCACAGGTGCTCCTCAGGGGTGCAAACATCATTTGATCTAGAGGCAGCAGCCTCTTTCCACCGCACCCCCACTCCTGTCCATCTGTCTCCCTGACTGGGCCTCTCTGCCCTCCCAGCACCCAGCATCGCCCTCCCTCCCCCAACCTTGCCGCTCTGCCCTCCCTCCTTACCCCCCTACTCCCTTCCTCATCCTCCCTGTGCCCCACTGAATCATTCATTCACGTGGCAGCTATGTATGAGCAGAGCCAAGTTCTCTAGCTGCTGCTGAGAACACAGAGGTGGACAAGACAGGAAGAAGGTCCTAGCTCCAAGGAGCTGACGTTCTATTGGAGGGAGACGAAGAATGAACAAGACGATTTCAGACTATGCTAACTGGCAAGCAGGGAGATGAACCCAGTGAGAGGGAGAAATGGCTATCAGGGGTGGCCCAGGATGGTCAGGGAGGGCCTTTCTGGGGGTGGGTGACATTTGATGACACAGAATTCAAGTCAGAGGGATTAGTGGTCCAGGCAGAGGGAAGAGCGTTCAAAACAGGGGGACCAACAGAAGGAACAGCAAGTGCAAAAGCCCTGAGGCAGGGGTGAACTTGCTGTGCTTGCACAGCAGAAATGCGCCCTGTGCAGCCGGGGGGCAGTGGTCCATCACCAGGGTTCTCCTGATCCCTGCCCTCTCACACTGGGCTGCTCGTTCACTATTTCAGGTCTACCACTGAAAGTCCTCCCTGTGCCTATCCCATACCTAAGTACTACATAGATGACTCAGTTCCTGTCCTTAGAGTGTGTGACTTGTCCTTTAACGGCCCCCATTCCCACCCGGCCTCAAATTTGAGCCTCCTTCCCTACAGGCCTCATCTTCCCCACCCCCCAGGCCTCCTGCCTTCCCACTCCACAGTTCACCATGCAACCCCA